TGCCTTGTGGGTATTACTGCCACCATTTCACAGGAGACACTGAGAGGTAAAGCCACCTGGGCATGATCACTTACAAAGTGTCTGAAACAAGGCCTGATAAGACCTTTAGAGGCACAGACCCTGAAAAGACCCAGGTCCTGCCCCCAGGTAATTCAACTGCAAAAAGCAGTCCTAATGAGTAAGATGAGAAGGGAAAAAAGGCCAACAAAGTTCAGATTTCCTGTGATGTGCTTGTCAGCGTTTTTTGAGGTACCAATTTCTTTCCAGGGGAAAATGTTGGTGCATATGCTTTGCTGGTGCCCGAGCACGCGCGTAGTCCGCCTGGCGGTCTCTGCAGCCGCTGCGAGCCGGGTTGGTCTGTCTCCAGCGGCCGCACCGCTCCCAGGTTCTGTGCTCTCTTTAGTCAAGGCACACGGACAGTCTCGGAGCCCCAGGGCCGCCCCAGGGCAGCGGCGGGCCCTCTCCCCCCGGGTGCTCGGAGCTGCCGAGCACCGTACCACCAAGGATCCATTTCTGTTCTCTTCAGTGGAGGTGAAATGATCCTTTCCAGGTAACAGCCGAGAATAGGGATCCGTGGGACCTCTCGTTGCGCCTCCTCGGCTCACGGCCTCCAGTTCATGGAGTTAGAGGACAATCTTTGGCTTTCTTTTCTCCCCCCAAAGATGTCTGGTTCTTTGGAGGCCACTTGGATAATTGGGTGAGTAGTTTTAAAGGTCATTTTCTGGGATGTCCAACGAGGAAATGACCAGTGGTGGTTTGGCTCTCTCTCCTTCTAAAGAAACTCGTCATCCTTCGTGCCTCTTCTTGGCATAACCCTGGTCTCAGAGCAAAAACTATAAAAGACACAAGCAATTCCTAGTGCTGTAAAAGCCAAAGACCTAGCTGACTTTCAGGGCTCTGCACAGTTCTATGAAGTAGGTATCCTTTGCCCCCTCATGTTATAGATGAGGAAGCTGAGGCACAGAGAGATTCAACAACTTGCCCAACCAATGTCACACAACTAGTCAGTGGCAGAGAAGGGACTGAGACAAAGGAAATCTGGCTGTAGAGTCTGTGCTCTTAACCAAACACTGTGCTCCCTGTGGGGGCGTAGAGTGGGACTTGAGGCTGTTTAGAATTAATGCAAAGAATATGCAGGTCCAGTTCTGCTTTTGTTGGTGGTCTAAATTCAAGGACAGGTCACATTTTTGTCACATTTTTGTAAAGGATCAAGGCTAGACTTTAGATCAGGGTAGCTGGGAATGGGTGGACAAGTGTGTGCCCCGTGACCTTGCAATATTAGAGGGAGTGAAGGAGCACCCTCTTCAGGATGCAGTGGCAAGAGGAAGAAAGCTTTCCTGTTCTAGGTTGACAATCCCTCACCTGACACCTGCCCCCTACCAAGACTAATCCTATTGATGAAGGATAGTCTGAGCAGTAAGCCTGTGTTTAATTAACTATGCAAATGAGCTTAACTGCTTCCCGGTAGCTGCTGTCCAGAAGCACCTAGGGATTCCTTCCCTCAGAAATTTCCAGCACCCAGATAAACAACAAAGTTGGAACCTATTTATCTAGACATCTGTTGAGTACCTGCGATGCACTGGGCCCTGTGTTGGAGGTTACAAGGAAGGGCAAGATGTGGCCCTTGCCCTTGCCAAGGCACTTACAGCCTATGAGAAATGGAAACACCAAGGATAACTCAGGGAGGTGGGCACCCTATTAGCTTCATTAACCAAGTGCCACGGGAACACAGAGGTTACTCCCAGGAATCCAGAGATCTTCCAGGTGTCTCTTGCCGACACGTTACGCTGAACTGCAGAGGAAACGAAGGTGGGCATCGACCTACTGCTTTCTCCCAGGTGAGTGAAAAAGCAAGCATCTTGGCACTGTTTCCATCTGCTCCTCCAGCTTCACTCAGTTTATCACCCTGGATTTGCTGGGACAGGTGAAGATAGACATCACCTGCCCCAACGAGCCTCCCCAGAGCCTTCCTCTGCTGAAAAAGGAGTGGGAGGTTGAAGAGGCATGTTTACCTCGTTCTTCACCCCCAGACCTCGGACTCCAGAGCCCGACCTCCTTGGGTACCACTGGGAGCCGAGGTGAGGAACAAACACCACGAAAGAACAGCCGGCTCCTCATTCCCCAAGCCCCACTTTTTCTCCCTAAGACAAGGCTCCCTAGTCTGGGGTCTTCGGACGCTGGCTGTAATGCCTAAAATGTGTCGCAAGGTGGCAACGTTGTGGCGAGGAAAAGACTTTAAAAATCCTGGGTTTTTTTTTCAAAGCATATTTTCCCTATTAATGTTTCATTTAACTTAATTAGAATCTGGTAAACTAATTAAAGTAGCTACGAGCCCCGCAATCAGCAATAATTCGTATAATTATTGATAATTACATCCATACCAATCGTTTGGTTATTAACATTTGAGGGGTACAAACAACTTCTGAGAGGAATCGGAGCCCAGGAGGGTTTTTGCTAGAGCTTTCTGGGTCGCATCCGCCTACACCTCCAATCCAAAGAGATTCCGGTCCAGGTGGGTCCGCCTGGCCCCAGCTGCCTACAGCTCTTTTCCCCACTTTGTGGAATTAGAAAAGGAAAGGGGAAAAGGAATGTTTGCCAGCTTCCTCTGTGTGGGCCGCAGCGACGCAGTAACTTCCTGCCTGGATAGTAACTGTTGATCCCATTTTACAGAGAAAGTGCTAGTTCCTAAGAAGCGGTTCCGCCCAGCGGGGAAAGGCGCTTTACTCTCCCAACCCGCGCTCCCCTCCGGGTCCTAGCTCCGCTCGCCCCTGGCACTCCCTAGGGACGCATGTCTCTCTCTGGACCTCAGTTTCACCTTTGGTAAAGTGAAGGACTGATCTGGTTGGTTCCACCCATAGGAAAAGTTCCCGCTCCCTGGAGGGTCCCTGGAGGGTCCCTGTCGGGAGATCGCGCGTCCGAGGCGAGTTCATCCGTCAGCGACACCTCACAGTTTACCCGGCCATTCTCTCAGTCCCCTCTCGGTCTAGCCCTCGGAATAACCTGGGACACGAGGGCTCCGAGCCCCGGCGCAGGGTGCTCGGGGGCCTGACTTCCTGCCTCGATCGCGCGGCGGGTCTCCCCGCCTGTGCCCCTTCCCGGAGGCCCCGAGCGCGCCCCTGCTCGCCAGCTCCGCCCCGGGCCCTCCGGACGACCCGCCACGAAACTTCCCCACCTGCGCAGCCGAGGGCTCCCGGGCCCCTGCTGCTCGCCCGGCGGCTGGGCACAGAATGCCCGCCTCCACGGTCTCTGCCGGGCCGGCCGGGGACGCGCAGTGAGAGTCCTGGGGTGTCGGAGGGCAGGGTGGTCGGGGCGCGCGGGTCCAGGCTGCGGAGTGATGCCCCGCGCTTGCTTCCTCCCAGAGCGCGTCCACGAGCCGCCGGGGACGGAGGCCTGAATATTATTTTAGAGGCCAAGAAGAGGCCTAGGAAGGCTTAAGGGCAAGACACGGCACCTCTGCTAGTCAGGTAAGGAGGGGAAATTTGAAACCAGAACCAAATGATTCCCGGGACCGTGCGCTTTCCTACACTTTTCTCCCCCTCCAAAACGCGCGCTGTCGTTTCCATCATATATCTGTTGCCCAAGAAGCGGGTGCCCTGTGGAAACTGAGGCCGAAGGGGGAGGCCCGTGGCGAGGTAAGGCCTCGGAAACCGCGGCCGTCCCCCCCGGATTCCAGCGGCCGGCGTATCTCACCTTCCTCCTTGGGCTCCTCGACGTCCACAAACCCGGTGGGACTAAAATGGACGGAACGTCAAAAACCTCCAGGGCTGCCTCCGTTCAGCTAGCTGCGAGGCAGGCGGGAGCGCATCTGCGCACAAGCTGCGAGTCCCCCGCGTCCTTTCCAGGCCTGCCGGGCCCAGGCCCACCTCTCTTACCTCGCCCCCGCCCCGCCCCAGAGCTCCAGGGCTTGGCGGACAGTACCCGCGCCTCCTGGCAGTTCTCGTTGAACCTGGGATTCCCGGCAGGGCCCGATTCGGTCTCGGAGCGCCCCGGAGGTGGCTTCTCCCGTGGGGCAGACGTGGAAATGGGCACGAGTAAACTCTCGGCCCCTGCGAGCGCTGGAGGGAAGAGTCAGAGACCTTGCAGTAGTTCTCATTCTCCGCCGAGGCCCAAGGGAGGGTCCTAAACGTGGGGCGGGGATGGCCTGTAGGGCGAGCTGGGGGTGCCTAAAGGACTGGTGGAGAGACGGGGATGCTCGCTGCTGCCCACCTGAGAAAATGCGGGTCTCAGCCCGGGCGCCCCAGAACCCGCGCTGTGGTCCCCACGCACCACCTGTTGCGCCCGTCTCCCCCGCCGCCCTCCCACCTCCACAGCCCCGGGAAGTAACAGATTGTTTTTTTATTAAAAACAAAACAAAAGTCACGGATACAGGGTGGTCTCCCCAGTCAGGCTCAAGGTGGTCTCCCTCTCGTGAGTCAGTTGCAGTTGTCGCCCTTTTTAAAGTGCTGTTACATCAACAGGTTACAACAAAAAAATAGACAAAGCAAAACCCAAGAGGGAATGCAAAACGGGACCGGAAGTAGGTCCAGGAGAAGGAAGCAAATAACTTACAGCATAAATAAAGTGAACCCAATACTGAACCGAGAGACTCACAGTACATTTATATCCATTGCACATAGCCACTTTGTCATTAGGAACAAGACTTTCAGAAGTGGACGGGACGGGGAGCGCGGGGCCAGCGAAGTTCCTACATTGTATTCACAGTTGGGGTTCCGAGGCTGTACAGGGGGGAGAGGCCCCCTCCCCTTTCTTACCCCGTTCGGTCCGGTTAACCCCATGAGGTCCGATGCCCAGGAGTTCAACCGTGGGGCGAGGTGGTATTTACAGTTGGAGACGGGGTCCTGGGCGGGGGCGCCCGGGAGGGGGGAGAGCGGGCGGGCGGGAGGCTGTATTTACAACGGTCCAGTCCGAATGGCTTGTATCTCGCCTTAGGCCGCCGCGTCCGCGGGTATTTACAAGAGAGCAGCATGGCTTGAGGGCGCGTGGGCGCGGCCGGGCCGGCCCTAGGGCAACAGCGGGGGCTTGAAGGAGCAGTTGCCAGTGCAGTGCCGGGGCGTCAGCATCTTGCAGGAGAAGTGGTGCAGGGCGTCGTGGGCTTCTGGAGAGACAGTCGATTGGGCCATGTTGGGCGCCTCGCCAGGCCTGCGCGGTCCACGGGCTCCCTCGCTCCCCTGTCCGCCCGGGTCTCACCCACCCCCTTCAGGCTCAGGGGTTCTCAAGCGAGAGCATCAGAAGGTGAGAGGGTAGTAGAGAGATCCTGGCTATCCAAAACCACTGCTCTAGTTCAGTTGGCCCATTTTACAGAAGAGGAGACTGAGGCACAGTAAGATGGAGGTCGATCGGCCCCCAAACCAGATTTGGACCCCGTGGCAGATTTCCCAATGCTCAGAGCTCAAGGGGCTCTTTCTCCCTATCCCACCGTTCTAGCATCATTTCTCCATTAAAATCAATTCTCAGTTCCCTCTTCTCAGCTACTGATCTTTGTAGACCTGGCCTTCCCCTCTCACTAGCAATGCCATTCATTCATTCATTCGTTCATTCATTCACTCATTCGCCTGCACAGCCAGCGCCTGGCACCCCTCCTTCTTTCCCCGGCTTCCACACCTTTTAATTTCTGCTGGATGGCATAGCGCGCCTTCCTCTCTTGGTCAAGTTCGTTACACAGAGTATCTGGAAGACATAGGAAGTAGCCAGTGAGGAAATGAGACCACCTTAGGGCCCGCTGGGGTCACAGCCCGGGCCTCACCCTCTTCTCAGCGCTCAGCCCCTGGCAGAAACAAGTCCCGGAGATTGAGGGAGGGGGCGTCAAAGCTCCAAACTGCAGTTTGGCAGTGGGAGGAAGTGGCCTGGGATGGCGCTTAAAGGCAGACGGATCTAACCAAAATTAAAGCAAACTTAGGCATTACTTCCCAGGTAATTTTACGCCTCGATTTTTAATTTAGAAACCATGGAAATTGCCGCGATAAGAAGTTCAATCACTCCATGTAATGATGCCTGCAAGCCGTTTGCTGGGCTCGCTTGCCATTCTGAGGCTAATCAGAGTATACAAAGGATATTAAATAAAAAAAATAATTGTTAAATTACCTTCAATTTAAATCCAAATGACTGAGCCAACATTGCGGCTCCTGCCAGACAAGAGGCAGTTACGGCCCGTGCACGCGCTCACCTGACTCCTGTCTTACCTCTGACAATTTGCAGCTGTTGCACCATTTCTTCTCGATAAGCCAATTCCCTCTTCATTTGATCCTGGAAATTATCTGTGCAAATTGATTAAGTGAGAGCTGTTACGCACAGCCCCCTCCCTCGGCCGACTTTCTCCACTCCCCAGCCGCACCCCACCCCCTCCATTTTTGGCCTAGTGGGAAACCCCAGAAAAGGAGGGTTCTGTGGCTCCGGCCTCGTGCAGAGCGGCAGCTACTTGCACTGGGGTCCCGGGCTTAGCCCGGGGCTTGCGGGAAGAAGGCTCTGGTGATGAGGTGGGGTGGGTCTGGATGGGGTACCTTTGAGACTCTGAAATTCTCGCTCCAGCTTCTTGCGGAGCTCCATTTGCTCCAGGAGCAGTTTTTGCAATTCGTCTGTGAAGGGGCGAGAGTGGGAGGTAAAGGAAGAGGGTGGTGGGACTCAGGGGGCCCATAAGGTACCCAGGTCCTCCCCTGGCCGGTTCCCCTGAGATGGGAGTAGGGGACGATGGGACCGGATGGTAGAGGCCCTCAACACTCAGTTTTTCCATCTGCACCCAAAGGATTTGGGCAAGAAATGGGGTTAGGGGATTAGGTTGCCCAGGAGAATCAAATTCAGGATAGTAGAATGCATGTTGGACTTCTAGGCCCTGGCCCCAGGCGCCAACCAGCATGGTTTCTGCTTTAAGTTGTCCCTAACTCCCTAAGCTTAGAGGTTGGCCTAGGAAGACGCAGTTTACCCCTTCAATTGACAGACTTAATCCCTCCCTTCAATGATACAGACCGGGGAGAATCTGGTCAAAGCCTTGGTTGGACCTCTGCCCTGGAAAAATACATATATTCGCAACAGTTTGTTTACAATTTCAAGAGGTCCCAAGACCCCAAATTCATGCTAAGAACGCTCATAAAAAGCACCAAGGATTTTGAAGGTAATCACATAGCCTGTAAAATCTGTAACTAGGAAGAGTGGAAGACCACCAGTGCCTCTCTCCCTCCCCACACCAATTTCCAAGCCCAACCCTGGGCTGGGTGGGGGCAGGGAGAGGCAATTGGGTGTGGAAAGCCCTGTTGGTGCCCTCAAAAGAAGCTCCAAAGGAGTGGCAGGGGCGCTGCCCTGACCACGGAGCCATTGGTATCTGGTCCTCCACATGGGGAGGCTCTCTGAGAAATCCTCCCCTAGCAGGTGCTCAGAAAACACAAAAATGGGAGACAGAGAAGCAAAGTGGGTTAGAAGCTCCTTTCTCTGTGCCTCAAGAGAGGGACCCCTTTTGCAGTGGAGCAGCAACCTCAGGACCCCATTCCACAAACAAGGTCCATCCTCACCTTATTTAGGGTGGGGTGGAGTTGGTTATGCATTAACTCCAGGAAAAAACAAAAAAACCCTCTGAGACATTCCTAAAGTAAATGCGTCCTCAAAATCTTGCTATTCAGATGAGGCTGAGAGACCCAGATTGCCCTGTCTGATTGTCCACATGCATCAAGTTCTGAGGATCATTACTCATTTTTCTTTCTCACTGGGCTATTCAGACAGGCCGGGCCTTGGGAACTCTGGGGTGGCTCGTTCCTTCCCCGTGCTCACTTCACCCTTCCACTTCCCGCCCCCCACCCCGACCTCTGTGCCAGGATAATGTGTCCAGGGAATTATCGCTTTGGCTCAATGAAGACTGATTCCCCAAGAGACTTTTCTTCTCACACTCACTCCTACACGAATAACACCCCTTTACAAGAAGGGCCCATCGCCCCCAAGCACAGTGTACCCCCATTTCACAGATTTAACCTCACCTCTGGCCAGGTTCTCGATACCCTTCTCCACTAGTTGAGTTCCCGTGACATCTAGGGTTAGCCCATCTTCGCCTGGGATAGAAGCGCAAGTAAGAGGGGTTTTGTTCTGGGAGAGGCCTTGGGAGGGGAGGGGTGAGCTTCCTGGGAACTGTGCTAAGTTGGAAACCTATTTCAGATGCTCTGCCCTTAGAGGAGACAGTTACAGGCATCCAGTACTACCCACCTTTCAAGTCATTATTTTAGGGGTACAGCCTTTATTTTAGAGAGTGACCCACTGGAAGAGAGTGAACCCAGGGAAAACAGGCTATCTTAGGGCAGGAAGTGCCCTTTGACCTGTTTTATGTGGGTGATGGTGTTCCTCATATTCTAGTAAGCCTCCTTCCCTCACGGAAGAGCCTCAAACCCAGCAAGGAGGTAAGCAACTCAGGAAACCTGGCCTGAACCTTGCCCACACTATTTAAATATTTATGTGCCAGCCGCGAGAGAGGAACAGCAGCCCCTTAGGCTTGCCGCTGGAGCAGGTGGAAACCTGGGCGACCTGGGGCCCAGCTCCCGGGTGGGGGTGGAGTGTGAAGGTCCTAGGGCTCACCTCTGTCTGTATTTGCGGGACTTGGCTGGGAGATACTCCTTTGGTCTGGATAGGATTTCCTTGTTTCCAAATCGTCGGCAGTCGAGTGATTGTCTTCCTTATCTGGCTCTTAAAGGCAATAAACCGAGTTTCAAAGAGAGGCAAAGAAACCGTGACCCCGATACGGCCAGAGCTGCCGCGGTCGGGGCGCCCGAGCCCTAATTAAAAGCGTCGTGGCCGCCGCTGGTTCCCGGCTGTGCGCCTGGGCTCGCACCCTCAGGCTTTGGGCCGGCCACCCCCTCCCCCGCGCGCGATCTGCTCATCTCCGGCTCCACGCCCCCTTCCCAGCCTCTTGGAAAAGAGCAAAACGAGCAGCCGAGCCCACCAGGGACAAGCGACCTACATCGCGTGCAGATACTGGGGCACCGCGAGCGCGCGTGGCCGCCGGGTCTACCTGCACCGAGAACGCGGCCCAGGCGGCGACCCTCAGGGTGGCGGCTGCGGGGGGAGACATCTTCCCCGGCCTGGCCTGCCCGGATTTCCGAGGCCCTCAGTCCATTCTCTGAGAGCCACTGGGTCCCGCGCGCACGTGCCCCCGCGTTGGGCTGCAGCTACCACGGCACTTCAGGAGTCCCCAAGGGGGTGGCCATGCGCCCCCACCCGCTCCCGATCCGTCCTGACCACTGGGAACACTTGCTGAATAAATGAGAGGTTCTGAAAAGGACGCCAGGCGTGGTTTGTAAAAGGTTTAACCCAGTGCCTGAGGTGTACGTGAGCGGTATCTATGCGGTGGAGAGGGCGGATGTAAGTCGTTGGGAGTCCTCGCTTAGCTTCCTTTTTCTTTCCCTGTTTTTCTTTCCCTCTCCCTCTTTCTCTCATTTTCTCTGCCTCTTTCCTCCTCTCGTCTTCCCTCGCAGGCCTCCTCTGGCCCCGGCCCTCTGCGCGCGGTCCCCCTATCACACTGGCCAGGGACCTCGGCAGGGGGGCTGGGGGCGTTACCGTGGGCCTCGGGGGTGCAGAGGTAGGAGGCCGCGGGCCCCAGCGCCGCCGCCGCGCTCTTCAGGTGCTCCTCCAGCTCGGGCGCGTACACCTGCGGCGGCCGAGAAATGACAGGCGGTTAGCGGGGGCGTTTGGCGGCGGCTCGCAGCAGCCCAGCCCTGCGCCGCGGCCAGGAGAGAACATGAGGGGGTGAGGGAGGTGCGCTCGCCCGCTGGACCCGAGCGCCCCGGGCGGCCGTGACGCAGGCGCCGCAGCCTTGCGCCCTCGGAGGCCGCATCACCGTTGTGGATTCCTGGTAATTATTAGCGCCCTCGAGAAAATTACCCGAGACACGAAGCGGCTCCCAAGCCAAGGGCAGCTAAAAGCCGCCCCCACCCTCTTCGCCCGTCTCAGCGTCTTCCCTCCCGCCCGCGCCCAGTCCCCGGTGTAAACGACGCCTTTCGCATCCGGCTAATGATTCGTGTTTTAATGGACCGAATAGAAATGTACAGGTGTGCGCACCCACTTTCAGGGGCACACCCCCCACCCGAACCCGCGGCCCCGGCAGCCAGAGAGCCCCTCTCCCGCCCCGCACACCTCGACGACAGCTTCCTGCCAACGAACCCTGCAGTTCCTAGGGCAGGAATTCGAAGAGACTCGGAAAACTACGAGTTCGTGTGGAGGAAGATTCCAAGGGCCCTGTACTGCGGCTTGGTGGAGAGGCATCCCTCTCCTCTGTTTACCGGCTTGTCTTCCCCGGGGCTCACATCCCCATCCAGGAGGGCGTGCTACCGGCCCGGCATCTTGAGCGCTTTTCTCTGGATTTTGGTCCCTTTCCTCCAGACCCATTTTATTTCTACCTTTCTGTCTCTGTGTGACTGCCAGTCTCTGCCTGTCTCCTCCCCACTCCCATCAACAAAAACACAGCACACGCATTTTTCAGGCCTACCGGCCACCCCCACCCCCCGATCTTCCGAAACCCTCAGTCGGGGGTCCCAGGGAGCCCAGCTCCACAGAGCTCCCGAAGCTGGGCCTATCCAGAGCAGCCGGGGCCTACTGCTGGAACGCCCGCTCAGAACAAAATTCCCGTCCCCAACCCGGCCAGGGCCTGCCCCACATCCCAGAGCTGCCAAGGGGTAAGCAAAGAGGCGCCCCCAGCGGGGCGGGAGCGGGGCTCACCTTGGCCGGCGCGGGCCCCCCGAGCGGTCCGCAAGACTCTCGCAGCTCATAGCCGCCGCTTGGCGGGCTCCTCTCCGGTCTCCGCACCATGTCGTCGGCTGCCAGGTCCCCAAACGCAGACCGACTGGCTGGGGGTAGACCCGGGGGTCGCCGGGGACGAGGGCTGCCGCCGTCGGGAGAGTCTGTGGGGCCGTCGGCGCCCGATGAGGTGGTAGACAGGGGCCCTGCCTGCTGGTCGCCATCAGGGCCGTCTCCTGTGCTGGGCGCGCCGGGTGCGCCGGGCTCGGCCTCGTCCGGGGCTCCCTCGTCGTCGGGGAAGCGGTTGGACTCCACGTCCACCTCGGGCTCATCCGCAGTGTCCACATCGGGGGAGGCGGAGTGGTAGCTGGAGCTGCCCTCGCTCAGAAAGTCCGGGCTCACGTAGCCGCCGCCGGACCCTGCGCCTGGCCCGGGCCCACGGGCTGGCCCGCCGCCGTACACGTCGCGGGCGCTACCATAGAGCTTGGCGATGCTCTCCGCGTCTTTGACCACAGGCCGGAAGGCCGACACGTAGGAGCCTTTGCGTGCGGGCGGCGGGGGCAGCGGAGCCAGCGGGGGCGGCAGCGCCTCGTCGGCGCCCTCCTCGTCCAGCGGCCCGCGGGACAGCGCGCTGGGGCAGCGCTCCTCTGCGACCAGGCCGCCCTCCTTGTTCGGCTCAGCACCGTCCAGGGGCTCGGGGCCGGGCTGGATAGGGCGGCACTGGGAGACTGCCTGCCGCCGGCCAGAACATGGGAAACGTCGGGTACACAGTGGCTGCGGCAGCCGCCGCAGCCACGGCCGCTGCGTCCTTGGCTGCTCCGGGGGGCTGGTGACCCCAGAACATGGCGCCGCCGCCCGGGCCAGCCCCCGCACCGGGGGGCAAGTGGCCGGTTCCTGGGCCGCCCGCGCCTGCGCCAGTGCCCGCGCCCCCGCCGCTCCCGGTGCCTGGGCCGCCCTTGGGTTCGCCCGCGCCTAGCACGGGGTCGTCCTTTTTGGGGCAGAGGCCGAAGGCCGTGGGAAAACCGTAGGGATGAGGGAAAAGCGGCGGGGGCAGCTTCTGCAAGAGGCCAAAGCCCTTGCTGGGCACTGGGATCACCGGGTAGCTGCGTACGCCGGCGCCGCCACCAGGCCCCCCAGGGCCCGGGGGGCCGCCAGCTCCCGCCGCCAGACCAAGTCCCCGCTGCGCGTGAGGAGGAGGCGGCCCGGGAGGCCCGGCGGCCTCTTCTTCGCCACAGCGCAGGCTTTTGTGGGGCGGCGGCCCTGGGGCCATCTCCGCGCCGCACCCCGGGCCGCCCCCGCCGCCACCACCAGCACCACCCTTCCCCTGCCCACCCGACCCGCCATTAGCGCCGCCGCCTCCTTGCAGCGAGAAAGTCCGCTTGCGAGTGCCACCATTGAACATGGCCTTGACGTCCTCCCAAGCGTGGCTCAGTTCGTCTGTGGCCGACTTGTCACTGAGTTTGAGGTGTCGGCGCCACGAGTTAAAGTTGGCTGCGTCGGGCTGCGTGTACTTGGCGTCCGGTGTGCGGTGCGAGTGGAAGATGAACTTGTTGGGCGAGAAGTACATGCTGCAGTAACCGCACTTGATACACTTGGCGCGCGAGCTGTTGTAACGCGCGGGGATGAAGCTGCCACGCGAGCCCCAGGCGCACTCGTGCACCACATCGAAGGCGAAGTTCTCGGGCAGCTTGGGTGGCTTGTGCTCGCCCAGGAACGACTTGCAAAGACGTTCGGCCTCGCGCTTGGTGATCATGCCGCAGCGGCGCGACGAGATGGGCATGGCCCCGGCCCGACGCAGAATCTCCAGTTGCACCGGTGTGCACTGCACGCACGTGATGCCCAGGGCCACGCGGCGGTTGTGGATCTCATTGTAGCTGTAGTTCTTGAGGAGGGTGTTGGAGATCTGCGCCAGGCATAGGCGCTCCTGACTGTCGATGACCAGAGACACGATAGGCACCCCGTACAGCGACGTCTCGCCCACCTGGTTGGGTTTGAGAGCGCTGGAGCCCGAGTAGGGCTGCAGCTCCTGCTTGGAGTTGGGCGAGGAGTTGCCCTCGCGCCCCGGCCCCAGCTGAGTGGTGAGAGCCTCCATGCCGCCGCTCCTGCGAAACAGAGAAAGCAGAGAGCCGATGAGCCATTTTCAGCGCCAAACGCCGCTTGGGCCCGCCCAGCAGGGCGCGCCGAGTCGGGCGCGCGGGGAAACTTGGCAATGGGGAGTCCAAGCTCATTCGCCCCCTGGACGGGCGCCTTTTGTTATTCAGACGCGTGCTGGCGCTGGAACAAAAGCCCCCGGGGTTTGGAGGAGGAGTATGGGTAATTGAGAC